TTTCCTGTAGCCTATTGCCCAATCGGCTAGTTGACTCCGCAACTCCGATATCCTTGGCACAATACCCGCTCTTCTTGGCCCGATGCCCGAGTCCACAGCCCGAAGCCTTCTATCGATACGTCGACCGATCCACCGGCCCGACGTCCAATCTTCTGACATGTTCCTCCGGCACAACATGATGTTCTTGCTTTAATTGTCTCATCCTGATCGAAGCACCCTGCGTCACTCAAAACGCAGATTGAATCATAAACATATATCAAGTAGTTTCATCATCAAAATACGAGATTCAACAATTCATTGCTCATAGTAGTCTAAGGATAAGAAGAGAGAAAAAAATAAGTCTAATTTTACTTACAACATCATTATAACTTTTAAATGTGATATGTCTTTAGATCAAATAAAAGTTTTTTGAATTGTATCAAAGATATGTATCATAATTTAGATCTATTCTTATTTAATTTTAGATTTTATCATTAAAATTTTTTAAAACTTTAGAATGATTTTTATACTCTCATTTATTAGAGAAGGTTTATTGGAACACCTCACTTCACTGTTGATTGTTGACTTTCTCTCACTCGCCTTCCAATACCACGAACAAGAACCCTCGGACAATTTTATTAATGTTAGTAGTGTCGAACTACTTTAGCACTCACCACCAAAGTCATAGATTTGCAAGATTGTGGGCTCAACTGCCCACCTTAAACTATTACCAAAACTCTCAGTCATCTGTCGTCGTAAGGAAACGTAACAATTATTATTTTTTTAGGGGCAAAGAAAGGGCTTGTTATTACTAACTAAAACGTAATCATTATTACTATCAATAATTGTAAAGGTTCGCATGTTTCATTATCCTTCTCTTAATTATTAACTTAATCATTTTATATCTGTTAGCTAGCTTGATATAGGAAGGTTTAAAAATTAAACTCCACCTTTCACTTATCACTTATCATCTCCCAATAGATTCTTTATATTTATTATATATATATATATATATAAAAGGATATTTTACGTATACCACTCTAAAATATTGTTAATATTTGAAGTACCATAATAAGTTTTGATTGATATCAAATATAAATGGAAATTTCAGGACCCATAATTTTGCGAGGATCAGAAGACTAAGTTATCGGGAATTATTGACCTTGGAAAGCGCCGGTTATTGTGGAGGTCTTGATGAGAAGTGTCAACGGATGGGACCTATTCCTGAGCTGTAGCTTACGTGGCAGAACGGATAAATAAATAAATAAATATGACTTGACTATTGGGGCCAACGTTGACAGGTCAACCTAATGGGCACAAATAAATAAATATATAGGAGGAAAATTGTGGAAAAAATTGATATTAAATATAAAAAAATGTAAAAGGAAGAATTCTGGAAGGATAAAAGAAAATAGAATAATAAAAAGACAATCGCTATCTAAGATTTAAATAAATATAATATATATTCCTTTTGACCATTATTGTATTCAATCCAATGAGCAGGACGGACGCATTTAGTCCTCCTATATGTAAGCCACCCATAAGTTTGGGTGAAATCATAATTAAAACCTTCCTGTGAATCTAATATGCTTGAATTAGACTTAAATACCCTTTGATTGATTGAGTTTAGAATATATTTGAATGTAATATTAGATATAGCTAGTTTGATTTCAAGTTTAGTTTTAGATATTAAGTAATTAGTAAAAAAAAAACATATTTTAGCTATTACTATTCTATTGTTAAATTATTAAACCAGCATCGTCCAATCTTTTTGAATACCTCTTACTATCTAAATCAATTTCGAGAAACCTTTAATCGAGTAAGAAAGTAGATAAAAAGTCAAACTCAACTTGTATAAATCCATAGATGAAACAGATAATTTGACAAGTAAAATCTATCCAAAAAATTATTTTCAGATTTCTTTAAACCTAATCCGTTGACTCTGGTCAATTTATAAAGGTTGTGTGTCTGCTTATTTCAATAAATAATAATAATAATAATAATAATAATAACCCCAAGTAGGTGAAATGATTACCGTGTGTTAGACAAATTAGATCACTCGCTATATCCATTAACTACATCGATGATGGATCACTCACTATATTCTAATCATTTTGTATTAGGCAAAATGATTACCGTGTGTTAGTTATTAAGGCTACAAAGTTTTAATTGAATATTGAATTCGAAAACACTACTTATTCAAAATGGAAATAAATACAAATTAGATACAAGATACGATTGATTTAGGTGTTTCCAAATCAGTTGAAAAGTAGGTCGGTTAGGTGGGTGGGTGGGACGGAGAAGCGTTTTTGTAAGCAGCCTTGTTTTCTTAGTTCCGTTCCCACCGCGTCCAAAAAAGTAAACGCGTTTAATGGATGCGGACCGGGAGCTACCGGACACCACTCTACCAAGTCTACCGCTCCGCCCAACCCCACGTGCCTTTTTCCGGCTTTGACCGATTGCGAAAATTTTGGTTCCTCCATCTCTTCCCCACCTTGATTCGTAATAATATAGCTTCTTCGTCCCTCCCTCCAAAAGCTCTCTTTCTTCTTCTTCTCCTCCTCCCTCTCCTCGATCTCCTTTGCTCTCTTGATTCGTATAGAGCTTCTTCGTCCCTCCCTCCAAAGCTCTCTTCTTCTCCTCCCTCTCCTGATCTCCTTTACTCTCTCCTCGGCCTCATTCCGGATCTCCAGGGTTCCGTTTCTCCCTCTCGCTCTTCGCGGATTTGTCCGGTTCGTGTTTTTTTCCCGAATCTCCTCGCGTCCTGCCTTCTTTTGAGGCTGATTCTGCTGCGCTTTTGGATTTCGCATTGCTTTGAATCTGGAATTCCTTGTTTTCCGATGTGTTGGTGAAGAAATGTGGCCTCCTTTTTGTGAAAAGTCGCGTGTTTTCTGTGCAGATCGCGGAGGTTTCCTTCGACAAAAGCGGAATCAATGGACGGGGTACGCGAGAGGACGGGCCTGCGGAAGGTGGAGTCGCGCGCTTCCATTACGGAGGCGGACGACCTCGACCTTTCGCGGCTGCTACAACGGCCGAGGCTAAAGCTCGAGCGGAAGAGGTCGTTCGACGAGCGGTCGCTCAGCGATCACGCCGCGGCGGGGAGCCTCCGGCCGGTCGACAGCTACGAGAGCATGCTGTCCCTCGGCGCAATGAGGTCGGTGCTGGACACGCCGACCTCCTCTGCCCACAACTCGTTCGAGCCGCATCCCATGGTCGCCGAGGCCTGGGACGCCCTCCGGAGGTCGATAGTGCTCTTCCGCGGGCACCCGGTGGGCACGATCGCCGCCTACGATCACGCCTCGGAAGAGGTCCTTAACTATGATCAGGTGATGACACCATCTTGGACTCTTCATCTCTCGTTCTGGCCCTGTCGATGGCGAAGAGACGGTTTAGATGATCTTGTTTCCGCATTGGCGTGCAGGTATTCGTCCGCGACTTCGTGCCAAGTGCTCTGGCTTTCCTGATGAACGGGGAACCCGACATCGTCAAGAACTTCCTCTTGAAGACGCTCCAGCTTCAAGGCTGGGAGAAGAAGATCGATCGGTTCATGCTTGGCGAAGGAGTGATGCCAGCGAGCTTCAAGGTGAGCCACGATCCCATCAGGAAGACCGACAACCTCACCGCAGATTTCGGCGAGAGTGCAATCGGAAGGGTCGCCCCTGTCGACTCTGGTTTCTGGTGGATCATCCTTCTCCGCGCCTACACGAAGTCCACCGGCGACTCAACCCTGGCGGAATCGCCCGAGTGTCAGAGGGGGATGAGGCTCATTCTAGCTTTGTGTTTGTCCGAAGGCTTCGACACCTTCCCCACCTTGCTCTGCGCAGATGGGTGCTCCATGATCGATCGGAGAATGGTAAGTCTCGTCGAGAAAGGAAGCTGTTTTCTTGGCTTGGTTTGATTGCTTCCGCTGAAAAGACCGATCTTGCAGGGAATCTATGGCTATCCCATAGAAATCCAAGCCCTGTTCTTCATGGCGTTGAGGTGCGCTCTGTCGATGCTGAGGCAAGACGCGGAGGGGAAGGAGTTCATAGCGAGGATAGTGAAGCGCCTGCACGCGCTGAGCTACCACATCCGGAGCTACTTCTGGATCGACTTCCAGCAGCTGAATGACATCTACCGCTACAAGACGGAGGAGTACTCCCACACCGCCGTCAACAAGTTCAACGTTATCCCCGACTCCATCCCCGACTGGATTTTCGACTTCATGCCGGCGCGCGGCGGGTACTTCATCGGCAACGTCAGCCCGGCGAGGATGGACTTCCGGTGGTTCGCACTCGGCAACTGCGTCGCCATCCTGTCCTCGCTGGCCACCCCGGAACAGTCCGTGGCCATCATGGACCTGCTCGAAGAACGCTGGGACCAACTGCTCGGCGAAATGCCGCTGAAGATTGCGTACCCTGCTCTGGAGAGCCGCGAGTGGCAGATCGTGACGGGCTGCGACCCCAAGAACACCAGATGGAGCTACCACAACGGAGGATCGTGGCCTGGTGAGTGCTTCTGCAACATCTCTGTGGAAGACTGGATGCAGCGAGGGTGAGGATGGATTCATCGTGTTGGCCTTCCATCGCTTGCAGTCTTGCTGTGGCTGTTCACCGCAGCGTGTATAAAGACGGGGCGGCCGCAGATTGCGCGGAGGGCGATCGATCTCGCGGAGAACAGGCTGTCGAAGGACGGGTGGCCGGAATACTACGACGGGAAGCTGGGGCGGTACATCGGCAAGCAGGCGAGGAAGTTCCAGACGTGGTCGATCGCAGGGTATTTGGTCGCCAAGATGATGCTGGAAGACCCTTCGCACCTGGGCATGATCTCTCTGGAGGAGGACAAGGCCATGAAGCCTCCCATAAAGAGGTCAGCTTCGTGGACCATTTGAAGACGGCAGCTTGGAAAGAGTTCGTTCCTTGGCACCAATTCTTTGACAGCAATTCATTCTTCTTCATCCCTCAACAGCAAGACATCCTACACGTATCAGTCGCCCTATATGTATAGTAGTAGTATGGAATCAATCATACATCAAATTTATCTGCACTAGAAGAAGCAGGTTGGGCTCTGCATTCCTTCATCTCATGGTTGCATCTCCTAACAATATCATTATTTTATAAGTTTTAACACCAAAGAGTTAACCTTCATCTCTAAACAATAAAAAGGCAATGGAAACTTATAATAAACTTGATACATCAATTTCCATATGAATGAAATCAAGGGCGTAGTTAAATCAAACTTCACTCGAGGCGTGTGGAAATTTAGATTCTCGAGGAGCTGGAACATAAATTCCACTGCAAAATACATTTTTTCTCTAGTTCATAAAAATGTAAAAGGAAATTCCACTTCAAACACTAATAGTTTGTACCACATAAAATTAAGAATAAGTTCTTGCTGGCATCATTAGGTATAAGTTCCAGCAGCTTTCTGTGTCGAAACAACAATTCTTTACAGCGTTCATCTTGTGTACTTGATGGAAGTAATGCAATCTGTCCCTCACAGGCAAAAAGGGTAATAGGTTATAACCTCTGACATGCAGGCAAAAGTGACTGAAATAATCCAAGTGGACCTCGAGGCTGAAAAGGCACGGTTTTCACACAAATAATTCACTTTAGCAACAGACAAAGCAACTACAAAACCAGTCTTGGAGAGCACAAAAAAAGAAAAAGAATCTAATTTAAAGCTGTGATAGTCCCATCCTTGAGGTATTGATACAAAGCATACAATTGTTTATGAATTAAGGCTAAAGATCAAAACCCTACAATGCTCTTGCATTCCTCCCACCTTTCCTGCTAACAAACTCACACAACCTGCATGGTAGTGTATCAAGGCTAGTGGCACGAGTCTTCCCATAGTTTCCCATCACACCGCACCTCCTCCAAGCATGGTACTCTGCATAAGCAATCGGATCATCGGCTAATTCTTTTACATATGAAGCCAATTCCTCCAGAGAACTAAACTTCGACCCATCTATTATAGAATTTGGCGGTACAAAATCCCAAACATTGGGCGCGCCAAAATAAATGGGCACAGCACCAGAATCAAGAGCATAGTAAAGTTTCTCTGTAACATAGCTCTCAGTCATGGTGTTCTCAATGGCAAGGACAAATTTGTAATGTGACATCGCACAATGTAGGTGGTCCCACCAATGTGGAACAGAGTTCTCACCCATAGAACACTTTGGGTAGAGAGAAAGAGCAGTGTTAGGACCCCCAACGTTGTTCAAGCATCTACCAAACGAATGATAGGATATGAGGGAAAAGAATTTTTGAGCAAGTTGGTTTCGTTGGGGAAGGCACCTCGAAGAAGACCAGTAAACAAGGATGTCCTGATAAGATGTGAAAAAAAGAGCTTAGTACATTCATAATAATTTATGATTTCCATTGTATTTGAAAACCAATTGTCCATTCATAAAATTTACAACATAACACCATGCACTCTCAATAGAACAACTATGTTGATTGGTATTAGTGCCACAAGAACTGCTGCCTACCAGTATGAGGAATCTTTACATGGAAAATATGTAATGCCATGAAGCACACTGTCCACAAATTTCAGGAAGGACCTGCACAAATGCATCTAGGCATGTCTCTTGTCTAGAACTTTGATGTTATGAACAACCTACATGGGTTAGGAATGACAAGATAACTGTGATTCAATTGTTACTTGGTGCAGAACCAAAGTTGAGAAAATAGAAAAAGGTTATTAGCTTAAAAAAATAATGATGACCATTGAAGGAAACATGTAGAATATAAATCTTTGAGCTTGATTTGAATAAGCAATACCATCAGGAATTGAAACTGAAGTATCAAATTTTAGCCATTTGTGGCTACAGAAAATAATTCTTGAAGTGTAGAGTGAATACTTACATTTCTTTTTTGAGAGGAGACCTGGTAATTTCGATTCTTATGAAACAGAGTCCCAGCATATGTGGATTGAACATCATCCTTGGCATGATAACCAATAAATATGTCTTCAAAGCCTGAAGGTTTTCTGCTGGCCTCAAGATCCATATAAACACGAAGTGGATCACCTTTCTTCCTCTGATAAATGGAAATAGCATATGGCCATTAATAACATAATTATATTTGAAATCCGAAAATATACAAAGCTAACAAATATTTTTGCAGGTCAAGAGCTCAGCATATGTGTTGTCATTTACAGCGCATAGATGCATATTTATTGTGTTGTACAAGAACTGAGAAGACCATGGACAATACAGCTTGTAACTTACTATGTGAACCTCCTGTAAGATTGTCATTTAAGCAATAACAGAGATGCATTAATTTTACTACAGATTTTCAATGATTTAAAGTTCTTGAAGCCCATTATTGATTCAATGTACCACATAGATTCTTCAAGATGATCAATAAGAAATTTATTAAAGATTCCAGAGATCTTTGCAAAAGTTTATCTTCAGAATAAGCAAGCAGAGATGCCGGGGAAGAATGTTCTCTAAAGTTAAGAGCTTAATGCATTGAAACAGATGTTCAATAATTCTTAAACAATGACAAACATTTATTTGGATTAAACAGATCATCGACATATTTTGGTAGTCACATCATGCACTAACCTTTTAAACTTTGAATTTATAAACAGCTTGGAAAATCTGGGTGTGAAAACATCAAATCCATGAACATTCTACAAGATAAACCATTATTTAGTGTTGTAGGCAAACACCATATTCAAGTTGTCATCGTCTTTTCAATCATGTAAGGATTGCATTTACTTGATTGGAAGGATAATTATAACCAAGCTACATCATTAAGAATTCCTAATTTGTCATCACATTTTTTCTTTACAACCATGTTACATTTCCTTCATTGGAAGAACAAATACTCAACAAGCTAAAACAACAAGAATTCATACATTTCAAATTATACCACTACCAAATTTTATTGGTGCAATCTGTTTTATGTTAATGCTTTTCCATCATGGTTAATCATCACAACCCAAGAATGAAACATCCATAACACAAATAAATTTGTTTTTCAGTAGCAGCAGTCATCTGAAATACCAAGTAGCACATGGAGAAGGTTTAATATGTGCCTGCCTAATGGGCAAAAATAAATATAAATTTTGAATTCATTTATAATCTTATGTTCACAGATAGATAATGTTATTTTTTATTTTCACACTCAGTTGCAGTAACCAAGTGTAATAATTAAAGCACATAGGGTGCTTGGCACAAAGATGTATCATGTATATCATAAAAATATAACTGGGTATGTGGAAACCCAAAATATGTACCCACTGAAGTACTTCACCATAGTAGTAAAGGTACAAAAAATAGTTGTTGATAGAATGTAAATAAAATATCTGAAAGAATTGTATTTCAACTGCACCTGCACATAATTCAGATTTTTGGTGGTTTCTTCATATCATAAAACCAAATAAATTAAAATAATAGACAGCAAAAGAAGATGATGTGTTGGAAGATGGGAAGAAGAGGAGTGTAGCACTTGCCAGGTAAGTTGTTAATTAACTCCATCTTAAAAAATGTTACCTATTTGGCAAGATCGTGTATCAGAAAATCTGAAGTTTTCTCATCTTCATCATTGTTTTGTTCTCGTGGACAAGTTGTTTGGATCAACAATCTACCTAGTCAATGAAACTAAGGTTCTCAATTTCATGTCGTACCAGAGTATCAAGATCAGCTTGGTACGGTATGATACGAGTATACCGAGCGGTACGTTCTAGTATACCACTCAGTATATATATATATACATATTATAATAAAAAAGTTAAAAATTAAAAAAGGGCGACGTCACCTCGTTTCTTCTCCCCGCGCGGATGAGGAGAAGTCGCTGACGATGCCGAGACCTCGTTGTCTCAGACAAGGAGGAGGCGACATCTCATCTGCGACGTCCGGCGAGGGAAGGCAACGACGAATCGGGATCATCGAGGGAGAGCGACATCGGATCTACAGGTTCTCCCTTTACTTCTCCCTCTTCTTCTCCCTCCTTCCTTCTCCCTTGGCTAATATCACCCCGTAGCGGGCAGCGACGGTCTCCTCGTCGACATCTCATCTGCGATGTCCGACGAGGGAAGACAGCGACGAATCGGGATCGTCGAGGGAGAGCGCCGCCGGATCTTCAGGTTCTCCCTCTTCTTCTCCGTTCTTCCTTCTCCCTTGGCTAATATCGCCCCGTAGCGGGCAACGACGGTCGATTTTGACCGTCGCCGACCGATTTCGCATGGTAATAGGGTGGAAATAGCCCCAATCAATGGTACCACCCAGTGGCGGGCGGTCCGCGTACCGATCTGCTAGCGGACCGGTACGTACCGCCAGGTATGGGCGGTATCATTCAAAATTAAAAACCCAGAATTAAACTATCCTTAAAAGAGCGGTCTTCATGCAAATTTCATATAATTAGCTTGAAAGTCCCGTGATAGAGGTCCATTAGATGGAAAATGGTAAATTTGTGTGATAATGAAAGAAGGTGCTTACTGAATTAGATGTTCTATAGAAGCTATATGAAGCTCAAGAAAATGTCAAGCAAGTCTAAACAATCACGTCAAAGGAAACTACCCTAATTTCCAAAGTACCTTTGATAAGGTGGTGCTTCATGGATGACACTAAATATTTTAGGGTGCCTTTAGACGAAAAGATTCAAGTTCGAAGCACCAACCACTGTGTGAAATGCATAGTTGAGATTATTAATGGATGATTAATGGGTTCATAAGATTAGTGATGATAATCAGCAACGGAAAAATTAAGCTTTGATAGCCTTGACTAGCTGATTCAAGCTGTGGGATCATTGATTTCAGTGTTAAGCTTGTTTTAACTTTGTCAACACAAATAACCTACGTTCTTCAGCTCTGTATTTTAAGCTTTTACTGCAGTGATGTCTTACCTCTTGTTCTTCCTAACCACTGAATATTTTTAGCTAATCTCATTTTTGGATTTTTTATACTAAAATTAACTGTCCAAAATGAGTCAAAACATGTCCACGAGCTGATCGAAATAACTTAGAATCCCAAAAGACAACATGAATTACAACTGATCAAAAGCTACAACTCGCCAAAAAAATCACACTTTTCTTCTTTACTGCTCAAAATTACAACAAAATTAAGAAT